AAGACAGGCTCCCAGCTTGCCCTCTGAATCTGCAATTCTCCTTTGGCTGTGTTGAACGCACTTTATATTATCCCGATCCCAATCTAGCGTTTTTCTTAAAGTCTTAGTTGCTATGTACTTTTCTTACTGAAAAATCTGAAAATCTTGTTGAAATTGACATTTTCCCATTTAAAAAAACCCTTTAATTTTCCACAGATCACTATAGCTTGTTGGAAATTTTTCTCAGCTGAAAAATTTAGACCAGCAACATGTGTAATACTTTCACAGTATTTTTCAAACTCTGTCTGTGGACTAGCAATTGGATCTTTTATCTCACCTTCTTTTTGTCTTTGTGTCTGTTTGTCTCTCCCACCAGGGTGGCTGCTCTAGGTCTGGCCTCGGGCATTATCCTGGTCCTCCTGCTCTTCTGCCTGTACAGGGTGTTCTGTCCCAAGAACTATGGGCAGAACGGGCTCGCTCACAGCAGGAGGAAGAGGGGGGACCTGCCCTGTGACGATTACGGCTACTCCCCACCTGAGACTGAGATCGTCCCCTTGGTTCTCAGGGGTCACCTCATGGTAGGTCGGGTGGGTGCAGTCCTTAGAAGAAAGGCATTTTACTGACTTGCAGCACACATCTTCCGTTTTCTTTGTTTTTTTTAAATAGCAGCCCGCGCGAAGGACAGACCGGCTACGCAGCCTTAGCGTAACACAGCCGTGGAGGCTCACAGCCGGGGCGAAGGCTGTATAGATATATAGAGAGAGTAGGATATTGTAGCATGAAGCTTCCTGTAGGACGTTTCCATTTCTTCCCGGGTCTCGCTTGGAGCTTCTTGCAATTGCTGTTATCACCTTCTCTGTGTAGCCAGCTGTTGGCTTTTACTGGCTGGGCTGATCCAGCCTTTTTTGCTGGGGTAGCTCTAAATTCCTGATATTTAATGCCTACTGGATCCTTTTTTCCCCCGCTTCCCAAAAGTTAGTGCATGGGTTTGGACTGTTAAATGTTGTTTCCAGTGCTAAAAGCATCCATGGGTTTGCACAGAAGTGTGCTGCTGCTCGGTTCACTCATTGTTCTTCAGGGGAAAGATGTTTCTTCACATTCTGACATGAAACAAAGCACTTGGGCACCCAGTCAGGTGGAATTTGAAACGCTGTGCCCTGTCTTCCAGAGAAGAACTTATTCTAGCTTTACTTTCACTAAATAATAATCCAGCCACCAAGCCAGGAAACATGAAAATTAATTATTATTCTTCCCTTAATTGGTTTAGTGGTGGACGTGGCAGTGTTAGATTAATGGTTGGACTGGATGATCTTAAAGGTCTTTTCCAACCTGAACAATTCCATGATTTGATGAAGCTGTCCCTCTGTTCCGGATCCTACTATCTCTTTGGGCCATACTTTGTCAGGGAAAGGGAAGACAGATGGAGTCTGTTTGATTTGCAGCACCCTGGGACTCTGGGCAAAGATATGTTCTCCGAGTATCCCTAGGTTGCTAAGCCAGCCACGTAGTTTTGACATAAAATTTATCATCTATATAGTTCCTCAGCCACACGCAAGGTGATTGTCAGAGTCCGGAGGCCTCGGTGGTGCTACGCGCTCAGCTGTGCTTGTTCTTCCTTCCCAGGACATCGAATGTCTGGCTAGCGATGGGATGCTGCTTGTCAGCTGCTGCCTGGTGGGCCAGATCCGTGTGTGGGATGCTCAGACTGGCGACTGCCTCACCGTTATTCCCAAGCCGAGGTAAGCGGTGTCCGTACTGAGTCGCTCAAGTGCGGGCAGGTCCCTCCGCAGGCGCGGCTCAGCAGCTGGTGCAAACCCCTCTGTAAGAGATCAGCCCTCTCCAACAGCAGAGGTGGGAAGGCTGAGCTTTCATTGCTGTGTTTTAGGTTGCGAAGAGACAGCAGCAGCATCTTTGATTACCAGGAAAGCTGGGATCATAGTCCAGATGGCAAGAATGGTCTGGACGACTCTTTTGAGAACAGTCACCAGCTCAAAAGGATGCTCAGCCCTCCCCAGCCTCCGCTTTTCTGTGACCAGCCAGACCTCACGTCTCTCATCGACACAAACTTCTCCGAGCAGGTGAAGGTGGCCGAGTCGGAGACGCGGCTCCGTGCTGTGGGCAGTCGCCAGAAGGAGAGCGGGTACGACTTCAGCAGCCTGGTTGGTAAAGTGTATGAGGAGCACGGCACCTCCAACTGCATGAACTTCGCCGGCCTCTCAGCCCCGCACGGGCAGGCTGGCTTCTGCGCGGGGAGCGGCAGTCCCCGCTCCCCGGGCTGCGGGACCGAGGAGGGAGGCTGCAGCAGCCGCAGGAGGAGCCTGGGGGACGAGTCTTTTATGGGATTTGACAAATCGTCACCGCTTCCTTCCTGGGGAGGAGACTTGGAGAGCTCTGTCTGGAGCCTGGACCTGCAAGGGAACCTGATCGTGGCTGGCCGGAGTAACGGGAAGCTGGAGGTGAGGAGCCGGGCTCGCTGCCAGCCCAGGCACTGGGTGAGCTGCCAGCAGCTCTTTAAGACTGAAGAAGCTTAAAGATTGCCGTGTCATTAGGTAGCATTACTGGTCAGTCACAAAATAAGGTAAAATTAATAGGAATTCTATAGGAATGATACAGGTTTTGAAGCAAATTTTAATCGGAAATCTAAATCTCCTCCAGTGAGAAACTTTCAGAATTAGTTTAATTTTAATTTCATTTTTGGAAATTAAGTCAGAATTTTTCCTTCAAAATAAATACAGGGTTTTTTTTTTTTCAACAAACACATTTTGAAATAAAATTTTTAACGATTTTTGACCTGTGCTCCACATGGGCGGCTCTCTTTCTTCCCAACAAACACACAGCAGGTCACTCCATTATTTTCCTTTGTCCTTTAAACACGCTTTTGCGCTCAGATACCTTCTCCTGAGCAGCTGCCTTGAGACACTGACTGAATTTTGCTGCTGAATCTTGTTTCCAGTCCACATCACCGTATCGCTTCAAAATCCAGAGCGCTTCACGCTCGGAACGGGGCAGATGTGGGGCTGGCCGGGAGCGAGGAGGCGTGCTGCAGAGCTGCGGCAGGAGCCCGTGCTGCCGCCGCGTGCCTGCGTGGTGCAGCGGGGCCAGCGTTCCTTGTGACCCCGGGAAGAAAGGCACGCAGATTGTGAAGTATTGATTAAAATACCATTTATTGGCAGTAACGCTAGAAGGAAAAAGAGGATAGGGTGATCTTGCGTCCCTCCCGTTGCGGGGAGCCCCACGTTGTGCAGCACTGGACAGACCTCCAGCCTGAGCACCGCACACCGTGTGGATCGTGTCCCTGGAGAGGTCAACCAGAACTCTGGTCCTTAGAGCTCTTAGGGGATTTTCTTCGAAGAAAAGAATTCTATTCATCCTTTCTGCTGTCAAACAAAAGGATGTTCACTTGAGAACTTGCTGCTTCACTTTAAGATAGAAGGATATTGATGGTTGTAATCACCGGTGCCGAGTGGGAGCTGCCTCCAGGCTCCTTCGTTAAGATCGGACGGCTAGGGGGGCCAGGGAGGGTGCGCAGCACAGCACGGGTTAGCTGTCACGTGGATCACCGACACCTCGATCTACAACAGTCTTCCGGTCAGGATCACAGCAGTAACCCCTTCTCTTTCCAGGTTTGGGATGCTATCGAGGGGACCCTCCGTAGCAGTAATGATGAAGGTCAATCCGGCATCACAGCGCTCGTCTTCCTCAACAACAGGTAATTGCGTTCGTGCTCGGTGATCTCCTGCGAGGGGAGGAGAACACGTGCTGTAAGCCAGGACCCCAGCCCTCGCCCTCCTGCCACGGAGGTCGAACAGCTCCAGATGGCAGAAGCTCAGCTGCGAGTCTCTCCCTTCCCACGTGTCCAGCTCTCAAGCTGGGCATGGTGGAGCAAGCTTTCCTGGGTCCGGGTCTGTTCCAGCAGCCACTTCTTCTTCATAATAGAGCTATTCAGTCTTTCTAGTAGCTGAATTTCCGGAATAATTCAGGGCTGGGAGATGGGGCCTTTGGGTCACTGGTTTCTGTGTGCTGTTATTCAAGAGGCATTGCCATCTGCCAGTTTATTCTGTGGTCTGAGCTTAATAGAATTTCTGAGCCCCCTTTCCTCTCAATGGGGAGTTCCTCCTCACAGGGAGAGCCTGCGTGGTTCGTGCTCTGCCTCAGAAGGCGACTGCTCTCAGGGCTCCTTGCCCTGTGGGAGCGGGGAACGGCCTCTCCTCATGTGCCTGCGTTTCTCCCTCAGGATCGTCGCTGCCCGGTTGAACGGCTCTTTAGATTTCTTTTCGCTAGAGACACACACGTCCTTGAACCACCTGCAGTTCCGAGGTAAGCAAGCGTCTGAGCGTGCTGTGCACCGCTCTGAGCTCCGCCAAGCCTTTTCCTCTTCCCTTGCCTTCTTGCAGCTGACTCTTCCTCACCCCCACTTCATAAGCTTTTGTAATAATGCTCCGCAAAAACCCCCTTGTGCTGCAGGATGCTGAACCAGCTGGAGAGGGGAGGAATACTTTGGGAGTTCCCTAGGCAAGGGGAGCATCTCGAGTGCCGGTTTTCTCCAGTGCATAGGTCTGGAGGACACACGTTCCAGGGGCAGCTCTGCCCTGTACCTCTTTCCTTTCCCACTTCTCGCTTATGTTCTCCCTCAGCAAGGTCTGTTCTCACTTGTTTGCACACCATGTAACCGCGCACAACCACAATACAGCATGGGGCCTCGGCACAGCCACGACACACACAAAACTAATCCCTGGTGGTAACTGGTTTGCAGTGCAGTGGATTCTTTGGTTCTGGAGTGGCCTGGAAGGGAGAGAAGCCCTGGAGTTACTCGGGGAGAATGGTTGCGTTCCTGGGGGGGTGCCCTGGGATCCACAAGCTGTAGGTCTAGAAGCGGAGCAGGCTCTGCAGGAAAGGACTGGCTGTGGAAATGATGTTTGCCCATAGGGCGCGGGGAGTCTTGTGCCCAGCTCTCTGTTCTGCCTCTCTGAGGAGCGTGCCGTGGTTTAGCCCCAGCTCAGCACCACGCAGCCGCTCGCTCACTGCCCCTGCCCCGGTGGGATGGGGAGAGAATCGGAGGAGTGAGAGTGAGAAACACTCCTGGGTTGAGATAAGAACAGTTTAAGAATTGAAATAAAGTAAAATAGTAATGATAGTAATAACAATATGATGATAATAATAATAATACACAAAGCAAGTGATGCCCAATGCAATTGCTCACCACCCACCGACCGATGCCCAGCCCGTCCCCGAGCTGCTCCCCGGCCAACCCCCCCAGTTTCTATGCTGCCCATGACGCCGTATGGTATGGAATGGCCCTTGGGGCAGTTGGGATCAACTCTCCTGGCTGTGCCCCCTCCCAGCTTCTTGTGCCCCTGGCAGAGCATGGGAAGCTGGAAAGTCCTTGACTGGCATAAGCAGTACTGAGCAACACTAAACCATCAGCGTGTTATCAGCCGTTATCCTAAATCCAAACCACAGCACTGTGCCTGCTGCTAGGAAGAAAATTAACTCTGTCCCAGCCAAAACCAGGACAGAGGGCAACCACAGTGCTCTTGGCCTTCGGGGACCTCAGTCTTGGAGAAGGCTTACTGCGCAGGGGCCACTGATGTGTAGAAGGGAGTTCTGCTGTTGAGGATCCTGTTGGAGACCCTCACTGCGGTTGTTCATGAGCACTGAGCAGCTTCTGTTGGTGTCAGCCCAGAGTGCCAAGTGTTCGGCTCTTTGGAGGACTGGCTTCAAATTGCTTAAAAGCTCAGCAGCCAGGCATCCCTGATACCACACCGTTTCTGGGTGATACGAGTCTTGGCGTGTACGGCTGCGTCCGCTGCGCTGAGGACTTAACCTGTGTGTCTCGCCCCAGGAGCCCCGAGCCGAAGCAGCCTCCCGTCCTCCCCCGTGTTCAGCAGCAGCGACATCATCATGTGTCAGCTCACCCACACCGTGTCCTGCGCCCACCAGAAGCCGATCACGGCGCTGAAGGCCGCGGCTGGACGGCTGGTCACTGGGAGCCAGGACCACACTCTGAGAGTACGTAAGGCTTCCTCGGCTGCGGTCCGGGGCCGCTGCAGCCCTGTGAGCGCCGGGGTGCGGGTGCTTATCCGTCCCGTGGATGCTGTGGGACGTGAGCCTGTCTCGTAGGTGGGCAAGGGGCAAAGCTGACGTTTGTATGTGCACAAAGGCAGGCGAGTGTTCGGGGTGGTGCGGTTGGAGGCCAATCCAGTGCATTCTTCAAGCTCTCCATGTTATATTCATCTGCCTGGATGGGGTCCTCGGTGGAGTTAGAAGGACAGAGCCCTGTGAGAGCTATCTTCCCAAACAGAGGGTGGGTTCTGGGGTACCCCCTGTCTTAGCCACAGAATCGTTTAGGCTGGAAAGAACCTTTGAGATCATCCAGTCCAAGCGTTAACCTCGCACTGCCAAGTCCGCCACTAAACCATGTCCCTGAGCACCACACCTACGCGTCTTTTAAATCCCTCCAGGGTTGGGGACTCCACTACCTCCCTGGGCAGCCTGTTCCAATGCTTGACAACACTTTCGGTGAAGGAATTTTTCCTAATATCCAATTAATTACTTAATCCAACTCTTGCCCTTGTCCCTTCTGGCAGCAGCTGTCCCCCTCAGCCACGGACGTTGCTTCCCTGCGCCGTCACTGCCCGACAGGCCTTTGCCCTCCTCCCCTGCCCTTGGCAGCAGCATCCAGTGACCTCGCTGTCCTGAACTGCTGACAGGCTCCGACTTCTGTGGGAGGGGATGGCAGTACGGAAGATAAAGTGAGATCTGTTGCTTCCTTAGCAAGAGTGATAAGGCTCAGGTATAGAATCATTTAGGTTGGAAAAGACCTTTAAGATCATCCAGGCCAACCAGTAACCTAACACTACCAAGTCTACACTAAACCCATTAAGGGAAGAGTAGTAATTTCATGTTTCCTGGCTTAGGGGCTGGATTATTTTTGAATGAAAGTAAAACTAGGAATCACTAAGGTTGGAAAGGATGTCTAAGATCATCAGCCCAACCATCAACCCAACACCCCCATGCCCACTAAACCATGGCCCAAAGTGCCACCTCTGCCCATTTTTTTGAACCCCTCCAGGGCTGGGGACTCCCCCCACCTCTCTGGACAGCCTGTTCCAATGCTTGGCCACTCTTTCAGTAAAGGAATTTCTCCCAATATCCAATCTAAACCTCCCCTGGTGCAGCTTGAGCCCATTTCCTCTCATCCTATCAATTATCGTTCTGCAGCACGGCTGCCCCCACTCACTCTGCCTCTTCCGCCCTGCAGGTGTTTCGGCTAGAAGACTCGTGCTGTTTGTTCACACTGCAGGGTCACTCAGGAGCAATCACAGCTGTGTACATCGACCAGGTAAGGTGCAGCCGGGTCTGCACCGGGAAGAACGTCCTTTATATGAGGCTGCTGAGCCGCTGGTTCCGCCGGAGGGGCCCAGCTGGGACCCTCTTCTGGTTTGCACATGGAGAAGCTGACGTGTGCTTCTCTGAGCACGCAGCAGGTTCACCGGCCGCTGTAACGGCGTGTTCACCATGTGTCTTACGAGCCGAACCATTATTTTCCCATCCAGCTAACTGCGAGCTCAGCAATCCCTTTCCCGGGAGGTGGTTTGTCTCCCTGCCCTGTGTGGAGCAGGAAAGCCCCATTCCCGCTGTACCTGTTCTGCCGGGTCAGCCATTCTGAACGCAGCTCTGAAGCCAGCGAGCTTCCGAAGGCAGAGCTGGGAGCAGGGGCTGAAACTGGCCCAGGAAACGTTCCCTGCCCTGTGAATGCCTGCTCTCCTGGGGACCGGCTGTCCCCAGGCTTAGCAGTGCTGATGCACTGCAGGGCTGGAGAGGTGAGCAGTGCTCGCGGCAGGGCCTGGCAGAGCGTGCCCTGCTCTGCTCCGAGCCCCAGGGAGGCTTTGAGTGGCAGCTCCCCTTGGAAAGGAGGAGGAGAGCCACACCCGCGTGCTTTACAGCTCTGTTTAAATGAATTTAGGTTTCTCTGCAACTGCGAGTCCTGGTGGGCTTGGGCTTTTGTTACCCTCAGCCTGCTCGAATCATAGAAGCATGGAATCATTTAGGTTGGCCAAAACCATGGCCCAAAGTGCCACCTCTGCCCGTTTTTTTGAACCCCTCCAGGGATGGGGACTCCCCCACCTCTCTGGGCAGCCTGGTCCAATGCTTGACCACCCTTTCCGTAAAGAAATTTTTCCTAATTTCCAACCTAAGCCTCCCCTGGCACAGCTTGAGCCCATCTCCTCTCGTCCTATCGCTGTTCCTTGGGAGCAGAGCCCGACCCCCCCTCCCTGCCCCCTCCTGCCAGGAGCTGCAGAGCGATCAGGTCTCCCCTCAGCCTCCTCTTCTCCAGGCTGAACACCCCCAGCTCCCTCAGCCGCTCCCCACCAGCCCTGTGCTCCAGACCCCGCCACAGCTCCCTTGCCCTCAGGTTAGACTTTAGGTCTGGCCTTTCTTCTCCCCTCCACCTACATTAGCTCGTCGTTAACTTCTCTTTTGATTCACATATCAATATTGAATCTGTTCAGGGTATTTTCCGCACCACCCCTCTGCAAGCCGGCAGTTCAGCTTCCCATCCCACATTCCTGGGACCTCCCACAGTCCGGGAGCGAGCCCGGAGCACTGGAAGTGCTTGTATATGGAATTGGCCCACGTGTTCAGCGGCGTCCCGTGTCCGTGGTGCTGCTCAGCCCCCCTGACCTGGTTTCTGCCCGTGTCCTTGCAGACGATGGTGCTAGCGAGCGGGGGCCAGGACGGTGCCATCTGCCTTTGGGACGTGCTGACGGGGAGCAAGGTCAGCCACATGTACGCCCACCGAGGGGATGTCACGTCCCTCA